ATGCAATTTCACCCATCCAGATTAATGACGATTGAATTACAAGGGAAAAGTTTTCGTTTGGGTTTCCAAACGCAAAAACTCATCGCCTTATCGTTTTGCATCGGAACGTAACGACAAATTCGAAAAACGATTTGCGCGGTACTAATTACGCACCGATTATAAAATGTTGAATGATTTTTTTTTTTTTTATATATCGTTAGAACGTTATACGATTCTCAGGTGCTTTTCAAATTAATTCGTCGTGAGAACGTTCTTTGTAACCAAACGGTAAACATAAACAATTGTATCGTGTCGTTAATAAGCTATTGATCAGTGAACGTTTACGTCCAAGAGTCTATAGTGTGGTGCAGTGATGTTATGACAAAGTTGTGAAAAAAAACACGAAACACGCAAGGTCATTCACATCATTACCATACTGTCGATTATTGCAACGGTAGATTTTCTGTAATTGTTAATGTTTTTTTTTTTTTTTTTTTTATCAAACGATAAGTTATTCCAAACCCCGATTCGTCCGTCTATAAATTATTTAGTACGTAAATTTTTTTTTTTACCATATCCATAACCGTAAACGTCTGAAGTGATCTCAGTTATTATTACCATCCCTGCCCGGCTTAGTCGAAAACTTAATGATATAATTCCGCGATGCGATTATCGCGCGTTGGAAAACATCTCCGTCACGGGTGATACGCACGCTCGAGATGACCGCGTTCGATTCCGGTCTAAAATTGTAACGTTGTGTCGCGTAATCGTTTCGCCGGAACAACGCTAAATCAGTGAGTAGGAAAGAGGGTTAGTGGCGGGAGGGTGATTTTCGGTATTATAATGAGTTTGCGTGAGCACGACGGGGATGCAACGGGAAACGTTTCGAGGAGTGCGAGCCCGGGTAGGAGAAAGTTTACCGAATACTTAAATACTTAGGGCACATGCACATTCGCGCATACATTAAACGCGGTCTGTTCAACAATCAACTTGTGCGTGAAGCGAATTTTTTTTTGCAAAATTTTTATCAGAAAAAAAAAATTAAAATTAAAACGTTTCTACTCCATCGTACTTGGATGTATGTTAAATCAATGCGATTTGTTTGAATACAAAACATTTGTTGTTAATCGTAGGCGGTGAACAAAAGAAAAAAATAAAACAATAAACAGGCCATTACGATTCATGTAGTCCACAATTGCAATCGTTGACTTTCATTTGTTAGTTATTTAATAAATATTATTATGTATCATTGCTCATGATTATAACTGTTGTTTGCGCACGTTTCGCGAGAAAAATGAATTTTTAAAAATAATTTAAAAAAAAAACGTATTTCTTTTTTAATAAAATTTCCGTTCGACGCGAATACCTTTCGCAGGCCGTCAAGTTCGATGTTAAACAGAGGTTCGATTGAACGCGCGTGTTCCGAGAGGTACGCGTCGTTATTAAGTACACAGGTTTTCATACATATGTTAGATGGGTAACAAAATATTATAATAGCTATTTATATTCGCATACACATATATACGTATTAGGGTGGTCGTTAGGAATAGAGGTATAATTTTTTTCTCGAAATTTCTCAAAACAAGTTTTTTCTCATCATCTCCGAAAATAATCATCCTACGATAACAGTTTACAAAACCTTTATTTCAGATAAACATATTTCCTATGAGAAATGTATGTAAAATGTCACCCAGACCTTAATCTTTACAAGAAAAACGATATCAAATTGAAAATGTTCCATAGCCTCCGTTTTTTCTAAGTATCTTAATTGATCGATTAACTATATAAATGAAAATCGATTATACGATTGATCTAAAATCACATTTTCTAAAAGTTTAACTTTAAAATATCGATAAATTATAATATATATATATAAGTGTGTGTGTGTGTATCAAATGTGTATCTATTCGGGGGCAGCGAATATTTTTACCATTATTTTTTCCGTACAAACTACCAACACATTACTGTAATTATTGAAATCGCCGAATAAACTGTGGGTATTCACGTGGTCAATTTTATGCAAATGCTACCATCCCCCACAGTTAACGGATACAGAGGTCACGCCGACCCGTACAGTAAAAACCTCCGAACGGCCGCGGTTCCAAATGTTGGCAAACATGCAGTCGACGTACCACCATATCCTTAGAGTGGCCTCCAAAAAGTGAGCAGTTTAGAGTTATAGACCGTGTGACGATCGAAAAAATGAAAATCACACATTTAATGTTAAAAAATACTAAGCGGTCAATGTCGTACGTTTTGCGTTTTGTTTGCAAAATCTTTAACATTCTTCATATTAATTAAAGTAATCATTGAAAATAATATCTAATCAGAGTAATATTTTTAAAATAAAAATACTTAAGCCGCATTTTGGAGTTTCGTCCTGGGCGCAATGTTTGGCTGCACGGCTCTGATCACCACTACCAATGATAATTATTGTACGGTTTACGGACGCACGTGGTCAGGACCGGATAAAAGAGGAGGGCTAGGAGGGGGATATAGCCCCAAGGCGGTAAGTTAAAAGGGACCACAATGCGTCGACTTGTCTTTTTATTTATTTTCTTATAAAAATAGCGTCAAACAAATAAAAAATTATTATGAATTACAAATTTCTCCCACATAAAATGGACTTGAATACTTAATTTCCAAAAGGCAATTATAGTGGTCGTTGCGGTCAACTCGTAAAGGACCAAAAGTAATAATTCCCTTTACACCATGACCATTATTCGGTCTTGCACGTGGTGTATCATTTTTTGTCATTATCTAACTTGTGTATCAGGGCTCGGATTCGAAATTATTTACGCTCAATGTTATTGTATTTAGAAGCGTTATTTAAGTTTTGCGTTGATCGCGATAAGGAATTTCGAATTTTACGTTTAATGTTGCGAACAACTGTCATATTTTATCCATTTTTGTTTAATTATCGTTTAAACCGTATTTTTAAAATAAAACAAAGAAATAAAGAAGAATCTTATAGATGAGATTTGTTAAATGAAATACGTCGTGTTTTGTGAAAAATTATATTTGAATGTCCTTAAAGATTGACCTATGTTGATTTATTTCATTAATTTACAATTTTTTCCGTTGAAATATTCTTAAGCCATGTTACGTATCATTAAAATATTGCTCTTATTGTTTAATAATACGTATTTTATGGTAATTACTTACTATGTCTTGAACACGTTTGGTATTGTTAAAAATTTGAACCTATTTTATCATATCCCATGACCGATATTCATTTGGTCGTTAATTTAGCCTCGGCTAATATTAATAATAGTCAATATTTAATAATATTCATGACGACTAAGGTTGCACTATCCGGTCAATGTTAATGTTATCCAAATGTTAACACTACCCCGTGACATAAAGTCAAACCTCTATTCATCGAAACTCTACAATAACGTACGAAATTGTCATTAAAAAAAAAAAAAAAAAAAACGTTTCTATAACGATACAGAACGTAATGTTTTATTTGAAAAAAATTAATTACATTTTGTCAATTCTAACGTCCAATCTAATTATGCAATAGTATTTCTGAAAACTGATCTGAATTTGTGTTATGTCTTTTTGAGATTGATCAGTCCACGTTTTAAGATTTCTTAATAAAATCCAAATGATAAACGTTTAAAAATTTGAAAGTATTCAAATCAAAATTATAACAATTAGGGAGTAAAATTGGGAATTATGGACTGATCGATCTAAAGTAACCGAATTCAAATAAATTTTTAAAATTTTAATCCCATGACTAGGTCGATTGTTACAGTTGACAAAAGATCGGTATGTTTTAGTTAAAATAACCGACCGTTTTCAATGCCCTTTACGAAAAAGGACGAAACAAATGTTTGTAATCGATGAATTATTTTATAATTATAATAGTACAAAATGTTGTTTTGAAGCTTGCAAAAGTATGGCAAAATCAAGTGTCGTAAACGACGAGCTTCGTTCGACGCTATTCGTTCTTTGCGCGAAACGAAATCGACGTTTAGCGAATTTTTTTCCGCCCCCGCACAACCGTCGAATTCGTCATAAATCTGGTTTTGACCGTGTGAAGTGCGACACATCTCGGCGCCGCCATCACATCGGACCGATAATAAAGCGTACACGTGCCGCCGCTCTGTCGTCGTTCACCCCTGGGCTTACAAATGCACTCCGATGCTTAAGTGATTGCCTATCGCCCGAGGTGAATGGCACCGGATCCTCCGACCGTCCGTCGCGCGACATACATTTATTTTATTATTTCCACGGCGAGCGGCCGGGTGTCGTTTCGCGTTTATCTGCCTTCGTCCGCATCGCACGTCCGGCCAGAAACGACTTATTTCTGTGCAGCCGCGCGCGAACGCTTCATAGAAATCAAACCGTTTTTCGGGTTTTTCGGCGTTCAAATCGATTTCGTAAATACGCGCACGTTAAGGGGAACGCAGCAGACGTATTTTTCGTGCGTTTCAGACCAATAAGCGGTAGTAAATTACACATACTTCGGAACGTCCGATTTTAACTTTTTATACATGTATGAACTCTTTGACAAAATATCTAAGTTATTTAGGAAGTCGATTTTCAATTTTCAATGTCAAAGGACCTTAAAATAACGATTTTTTTTTTTTCAAAAATCTCATGAAATAATTGCATTACATTTGTATTTATTTTGGGCACATCTAGTTTTAAATCAAAAAAGTGATTCCTAAAGAGCATAGTCTAGAAGTTTATATATTCAACCATACTTTCAAAATTACAATCGGACTTCAGGAAGTATATTTAATTTACTACCGCTTTTAGTAGTTTTTATAGCATTGCAAACATGAATATATTTTATTTTTCGTAAAGTATTGACATGTGCCTGCGCGTGCAATAGTTTATTTCGGCGGCGCAGCGGCTCGCGGATGCCGACGGTCCGTGATAGATTCTCGGAAAGTCGGAAACAATTAGCCGATAAGGATTATTGGATAGTTATAGAACATTACCAATGGGCGACAATAATAATAGTCCATAATAATAGTTATATTTTTCCAAATTAAATACAACCCACATATATTTAAATTTTAAGGAAATACAAAATATAATAATACTACCTATGATTTATGAATCATTTGATTTCAACACAACACGCCGATCAGTAAGGTTGTCTGTAAGTTTTGTGTTCTTTTTAACTTTTTACAAAATGGGTAAAGATTGGCGTTATGGGAGAAAAGCTAGACGTAAGTTAAGTGCACCTAAAATAAAAAAACATCGATTACAAAATTTACAGAATAAAAAAATTGATATACAAAATAACTGCGGTGATCAGGTAATTATATAAATATAAAATTTAGAATAATATTCTAAAAATTGAAGATTATTCAGACTGTATTCTTATATTTTAATTGCAACAGGAAAATACACATTTGCCAGAATCTGAAAATGTTTTGACAGATAACAATATAGAACTTACTACTGTGAATCGGTAAATAAAATATTTATTATGGATATTATTCATTGTAAAATGACAGACGACAGTTGTAGAACGTAGGTAGTAGTTATATATATATATATATAATAATGTTCTATATGCCTATATTATTATTATCGACGGCTATAATAATAGACAAACAGATGTAACTTATAAAATATTTAATTTTTTGTTCGTAATTTATTATATTTGAGTCTGCTATGGCACATGTTTTGAATCACTTGCGTCCAGACACGTATACAAAAAAAATCTGGTGAGGGGTGGTTCATAGTAGTTTTCAAAATTGTCAAAACACTACCAATTTTTTGTAGTTAAAAAATCTTATATTTAAATTATAATTTTAAATCATAAAATTTTAAAAAACGCCTAAAATATTTTTTATTTAATAGTAAAAGGTAGCCTCAGGCTATTAGTCATATATTATATTTAAAAAAACTGCAATAAAGAAATACATATACCTAAGTATGGAATATAATTATATAATTCGAATTTCAGCTAATTATTTAAGCTAATTTATCCTTTTCCTATCGGGGATGGTTTGTAATACTACTTTATTAAATGGTTTTATTTGTATAAAAAAATTAAGTAATGTAATAGTTAATAACTATGAAATAACAAAGTGATTATCTTGTGTAGTATAATGTAATTGTACATTTTTGGGAATTGCAGCGAAAGCTGAGTAGTGAGTAGGTGATATAATAGTAAAAGATAACGCGCGCAATTGAACATAATATATTGGCATTTTTATAGCATTTTAATTATACGTAGTTCTGGGAATTCGTAACACTGTTAACCGATAGTCCGAGGCACATGATAATTGATTACCCACACTAATGTTCATTTATTACTCACACATAGACATAGCCCAAATGTTCATGTTATGTGAATTGCCTAAATATTACTCCTTAAAACATGATACGCTGGAGCCCCCTCAACTGTGTGACATTTCTGTCGATCGCGTGAATTCTCAGGTGTCGGGCGGGTGAAAATCGTGGACCAATATACGTCTTTGTAATGCGAATCGAGAAAAATTATGAAATGACCGCTGAGAAAAATCTATGCATTATTTCTCGAATACCAAACGAAAAGAAGAAAAAAAACAATAATAATTATAATTACGAAAAAAGAACATCGAAAGGCCGAACACTCCGCCGACTTAAACGATTGATTTTATAAAATGAACGTAAGTGAATACTGATATTGTTTTCAAGTTTTTCTTTTACATTCGTCCTTTATTAATCGGAAAAATTACTTCGAGTTCGAAGAAAGACCGGAAAGACCAAACAAATCCAATTATCGATTTAACGAGACAGTACACGAAACTTTCACTGCGCAGTTTTACTATTGGAAAAAGCGTTGGTTAATCTGAAAAACCCAGTAACCTTTGACTTTTGTGTTAAGTAAATTAGTATTCGTTTTATCATGTTTTACCATCAAATTGCGAACAGTATAATACATTGTTCGGTGTTTGTGTACCGATAAAATAAATCGACCCTTCTAGTAATCGTTAGACCAAAAGATGGTCTTGGACAAAAGGTTTAAAAATTAAACGTTTTTGATCCGAATGAATAATTTACACCGATATCTCGTTTGCATTATCTCTGTGTCAATCTCGGTATTGAATTCCAATAGTACGCGTTTGTATGATTGATACCAACACGTTTTGAATACGACCGTCCGATTGCTAATGCAGATATCGGCTAACAGTAGAAATTCCAAAATCATTTTTCAATAAGTGAACATTTAACATCGCTATAACATTATTGTTTTTTCGGTGTTACTACTACTGTAATGTATATATGTATATATTTAAATTATATTGCTGGTTAAATCATTTCCCTAATTGTGTCTCGTAGTTGTATTATTATTTCGCCGCAGCATTATTTCTGTTACGCCGTCGATATTATCGAGTCCGCATTGCAATGTTATTGTTGTGCCACGTTACACAAGTAATAATAACGAAACCGAGATTGAAACTTGAGAACGGTTAATCTTAACAGTATAATCCGGACACGGCCAAACAACAGGTATACTTATACTTATCGTACGAATTATTTACAATTCTGATATTATAACCGTATCGAAAAAAAAAAATTTTATTTTTTATAGTTGCAGGTGAAGATTACGTGCTCGAAGAGAAATGGATACGATGAGTTAAAACAATACGAAGTGCAGCGAAAAAAAAAATCCGTTTTTTTCACATTTTTTTTTTTTTATCGAAATCGATTTAATATCCATTCGTTAATATTATACTATAGTATAGTATAGACAATATAAAGCCAAAACTTTTTGTACTGTAAAATTTCCATTTTCTTCCAAAACAAACACGTTTTAGATTTCCGAATTAAGTCTCGTATGTATAGTATGCCCGTAGTCACCATCAACATAAAAAACCAATATCATTGTTGATTTTATAAAAATATTATTTAAGATATACATTTAACATACACAACAAACCCTGTAATAATAATACTTATTCGCGTAACATCAAGTCGAACGTGTTTCATTTACGCTAAATTAATTAAACACTGAAGACGTCGCTCGTATCATAGACTCGTCTATCGTTTTATAGCGTCGTGAATCAGAAACAAGTATTCCGACTTGGTAACATTTTGAAAATAATATTAATTTTTTAAGCTCACGTATACTGACCACCCGGAAATATTTGTAGTTTCCAGTTTGGGTTTCCCGTATTAATATTTTTAAAATAAATAAATATCTACCAATAATAATAATAATAATAATAATAATAATAATAATAATTATAATCATGCTTTTATCATAAATTTGAATAAGATATTTATTTTACCGTGAGTTGCCATTTTATATCGAAATAGATCATTTACATAAACTAAAAATGATTGTTGGTGGCAGATTTTTTTTTTTTTCGTAAGACGTATAACACATTTATTAATAATAAGTACATGATATATAACACGGGCCAATTGAGGAATATATCAATTGTAATTTATATTTTGTTACCACCGCAGTCATTTTAATTAAATTTAAGAACAATAATTATGATGATATATGTAAAAATTATGTGATAATATATACGCATGCATAATAGGTACATATACGATTTAACATTTTAAATATTTTTCGACAGAAACGTATTGTAATACACTTTGACGATTGTTAATTTTTAGTTTAGATTTACGAAGGTCCAATGCCATAGAGATTGTTTTAAACGTGTTTTTATCATTTTTTTGAATGTTATAACAATATTTAGTGGACTTGATGTGGAATAAAAATAGTTTTAGATTGTTACGTGTGCTTTTTGATTTTTAAAATTTGTTAATTGTCAACAACGCAGCTGTGTTGGTTCTAATGTTGTATAGATTCCGTTTCAAGATTAAATTTAAGATTAATGTATTATTATTCATTACATGAAATAATAATTGAAAGTCAACTCAGTTTAACTCGTGACAGGTTTCTATAAGCAATTCCGTTTAATGTCAATGGAACATCGAAATTGAAAGCAAACAATGCAATTCTTCGCAAAAACTAAGATATTTTTCCAACAAAACCTTTTGATAAATATAATAAAAATGAAAAAAAAAACCATCGCAGTAGAGTCTTTTGTTGCCAAACGACCTTTTTTTCTTCGGTCGAATCGACATTTTACCAAGTAAATCGTGAATTTGTATTATTTTTTTCCTGTTCCACGTGCTACGTCGAAACATAATACCATTATGATTTAATTTGATCTTCATTCGCGCACGCTATGTGTTACCGTACACACATGTATTTAAAACGCTCACGCTTATTTATTATTATATCTGGGTCAACAATTACGATTCTTTTTTTTTATGCTTCATATCAAAAAGGAAAAATCACCGATTCAAACTCTTCATTGAACTCTCGAAACTTTGGGGGTCCGATGACTCCACGGTAAGATTTACAAACATTTTAATTTTATCTGAACACTCGCTCTGTGTAAGGGCATATTTACTTCTTGGTGGGGGGGGGGGGCGACTCAAATTTTATCTTTAATTTAGGCTCAAAATTTACAAGTAAAATTTTTGGTTATATTTATATCAGGTGAATCCTTTATATATATAGTTTTTTTTTTATTTTTTTAATTTAAGCCGGATTCACTTAGAATGGTCTTTTGTGTAGTTCTTTTTAACAACTATCTGTGTTTTGAAAGTTTCGCTTGTATTTTATATAATTTTCATTAAGTATGGACTGGGTCTTCAATCAAAATAATATATAAAATTTATCGTTATGGGACATATAAACGTTATAAGCAATTGAGCGTTTAACGCTATAAATAATTTAAACGTTATTCAATTTAAGCGTTTAAACGTTATACAAATTTAAACGTTTAAAAGATTTTCCGTTTACCGTTATTGCCAATTAAAACGTTGTGAAAAATTTAGCGTTTTGCGTTATTTAAATTAGTGTAAAATTTGAAACGTTTTCAAATGTAGTAATACTATTAAATAAATCATAATTTTTGTTTCTTAATAAAATACCCATTACTTATATAAAAATTGTCTTGGTCTAAAAATTCTCGGAGGGGGTGATTGCTTCCATCGCCCCCCCCCTCAAATACACCACTGGCTCCGTGTAATATCATTACGCCACGTAACCAAACCTTGCCGTCAACACCGATTGCCAATATGTCCGATAAACGTCCACTGATAGCATCCATTAAAATATAAAATCGCAATTCTATCACAAAAATAGCAACAACCTCCCAAAACGATAATTATACAAATCAACTTGATAATGACAGTGACGACAGGTTAATCGCCGGACCACAATCGCCAAACCAAATAAAAGACCAAACAGCTAACCAGGTTTATCTCTAAAACTATAACAATCTATCTCAATCCAGTTTAAACAACATAATGGATACTATGCGCTAAGCAATTTAGTAGATAATGATATAGAAACTGATCAAGTTAATTCTAATTCGAATGAAACAAAAATTTATACACCATCGCCTATATTTATTAAATCTAATATCGAGTACTCAGGTTTTTGCGATGCGATAAAAAAAAAACAATTGGTTCAAATTAATTCTTTTGTAAAAGCAATTTAAATGAAATAAAATTAAAATTACCCATTCTTGTTTCATATCGAAAAGTTATAGATCTATTAAATGATAAAAATGTAAACTTCCATACATATCAAACCCAACAGGAAAAGCCATTCCATATAGCTATTTGCATTTTACATCATAAAACTGATAAAAACTTCATAAAGATGATCTAAAAGCCTATGGTTATTCAGCTATTCAAGTTGTTAACGTTCTCCAATGCCAAACAAAACAACCACTACCTCGACAAAGAAGTCGATTTGGAACTAGATAAAAATAACTCTGACATATTCAAACTATCTTCGATCAATATAAACGCTGTCAAAATGTTTATCATAAAAAATTTTACTACAACCACCAACTTCGTTGTGTCAAATGCAACAAACCGCATTTGACTGCACATTGTCAAAAGTCTCCTGATCAACTCCATAAATGTGCCCTTTATGGAGGACAAAATTCTACCAGCTACTGAGGCTGTCCTTTTTATAAAGATATTCAATCAAAACACAAATTTTCAACACAATCAAAGCCCAGATAAGTAAAATCAAGTAAAATAACTTATCAAGCTAAATTTCTTAAAATATTGTATAAGAATCCATTGGAAATACCTCTTCACCCGAAAAACAAAACTATCAAAACCATACTAGCAAAACCTACTCTATGAAAAAAAAAAATTAATATAGCCCTTATCATCGAGACTCATCTCACCAAAAATTCAAATTTTAATATATTCGATTACTAATTACACATAAACAACCATCTTGACGTCTCTACTCATACTGGAACCGCAATCCTTATCTCTTCTGACCTACAACACAATGAATTGCTATGATATCAAGAACCATACATGCAAACAACAATTATCTCTATTATAATTAAAAATATACCAACTGAAATTGCTTCTACTTACTGCCCTCCTCGTAACAAAATTGACACTGATGAGTTCAACAGATTTTTACAACTGTTAGGTTACTCATTTATTGCTGGAGGTGATTACAACTCCAAGCACTTTCTTTGAGGAAGCAGGACCCCAAATTTACCATCTCATTATAAAATAATATTTACAAAATAGATCTTTTGTCGTACGTCAAGGAAATTATCTATCGTCCACCCACCAAATGTATGCTGGAGTTCCACAAAGTAGCGATCTGTCTTCCGAATTATATAAGCAATTTATAGCTGATATTTTTCAATCAGATAAAATTCTCTTTGCCACATACACTGACGACATTGCTATTCTAGCAACCAATGCGAATCCCAACCAAGTTACCAATTCACTCCTGACTCAAGTAAACGAAATTGACTCATGGGCCAAACAATGGAGAATCAAAATATATACCAAAAAATCTACGCAAATTACCTTTACTTTAAAAAAGATTTCTCGAAGAATGTCCTCAATTATTAATGAATAACTTAATTCGAACTGAAATAAAATACCTAGGTATAACAATCGACAAAAAATTAACACGGGGATCGCATTTAAAGGAAAAATGAAAATCAGCAAACAATAGATTTTATCTTTTCCGCCCTCTCATAAACTCAAAAATATTACTCCAAAGTAAACTAATCATTTATAAAACAATGGAATATAGAAATCTTATGGAATATTAATATGGGGTATTGCAAAATCATATAACATGAGACCAATCCAGGCATTTCAGTCAATCTCTTTGAGGCAACTAACACATGTTCCCTGGTACGCTTCAAATCTTTCCTAACTTAAAAATAATAACTACCACCGAACTAGCTGAAACAATGTACCTATAAGCGTTTTCATCAACATTTAAGCATGCATAGGAACTTACTCATATCACAAATATCTACCTTCACTCTACCTAAAAACCCACCTCGCTGACTTAAGCGAAAATGGTGTGGAGATTAATTACATTAAAGAGGTGTAATCAATGGATTGCTTCCTCAACATGCTATTCTTGTTGATTTAATCTCCTCTTGTTATCAAATTTGCATTTTAATGGTAATTTATTTGTTTGTATGGATTGCAAATTATCTATACAAAAAAGAAAATAATTTGATCTTTAAATCTAGTAACATACTTATATGCAAGAGAAATGGAATCTTTTTTTCGTTTCGTCCGAGGATGGGCCCAAACTTCATAGGCGTGTAA